CAGATAAGGCCTAATAAGGCCTTATCTCCTGAGCACTGACATCAGGTTGGCCATAGTTTTCTGTTGGACCAGCTTGACACCTGTATTTCAGAAATAGAGAAGGAGCTGGGTAGTAAATGCCTGTATTCTCAGTACTTGGGAGAGAGGCACGAGGATCGCGAGTTGGAATCTAGCCTTGGCTACATGGTGAGAGTCCAGGGAGAGAGAGAGCAAGAGTGAGCAAGCAAGCCAGAGGTCGGGGGGAAGTGGGAGGGAGGGAGGAAAGGAGGGAGTCTGGAAATAATTGATTATGGTAAGTGAGTGTGACTGTGTGACTGTCTAGAATATAAAAGGTCCTGAGTTCAATCTCCAGCACTGCTTCTACCCCCTCAAGAGTAAATGATGGAGGGGAGGCGGGGGGGGGGAGATGGGAAGGGATAGGAAGGGGAAACAAAGGAGGAGGCAACAATGCTTGATAAGAAATGTACTCATTATCTTGCCCATGTAATTGTAACCCCTCTGTATAGTATTTTCATAATAAAAAAAGAAAAAAAAGAGTAAATGAACATATGGCCCAGAAATCACCCTCTTAGACATACATTCCCCCAAATTGTAACATAGCTCTATATGAACACTTGTACACCAATACTCAAAGGAGCATTATTTAGGGGAAAAAACTCAAGCACTGATCACCTGATGAATGGATAAATGAAATGTAGCATGTGTGCACCATTAGAATATTACTTGGCAGTAAAAAAGAGGTAAAGCAGATGGATACATGTTGCTATAAAATGAGTGAACCTTGAAAACTTTATACAACGTGAAAGAAGCCAGATGAAAATTCTGTAAGTGGTCTGAGTCCATTGATAAGAAATATCCATGGGGCTGGGAAGGTGGCTCAGTGGTAGAGTGCTTGCCTTATATGCATGAGGCTCTGGGTTTGATTCCTCAGTACCACATAAGCAGAAAAAGCTGGAAGTGGTGCTGTGGCTCAAGTGGTAGAGCGCTAGCCTTGAGCTGAAGAGCTGAGGGACAGCGCCCAGGCCCCGAGTTCAAGTCCCATGACTGACAAAAAAAAATACCCAAAAGAGGCAAATCCAGAGACTTTTGACTAGCCATTTGTAGGAGATGGAATGGCACATGAGGAATGATGAGAAATGACTGCTAATGGGTATGCCCATTAGTGGGAAGAAAATGTTTTGGACTCGATAGTAATGATGGTGAAACCTATGAATACACTAATAAAACACTGGGCTCAATTAAAAGGAATGAATTATTTAAAGGAGTGAATTATATAATGTACATTGTATCTCAGTAAGGCTTTTATTAGTTCTTTTGTGTGTGTGCCAGTCCTGGGGCTTGAACTCAGGGTCTGGGCACTGCCTCTAAACTGCTTTTGCTTAAGGCTCTAGTGCTCTACTACTTGAGCCACAACACCACTTCTGGCTTTTTCTTTGTATGTGGGTAGTGAGGAATGGAACCCAGGGCTTCATGCATGCAGGGCAAGCACTCTACCACTAAGCCACCTTCCCAGTTCGCTTTTATTATTTAAAGTGAACATACAAAGTAGTTCGATGCGGTCCACCATGGAGTCATTTTTAGTACGCCCATATAAATCACTGCTTCCAGCCTTTGTTACACAGGTGTGGGGCCAGACCAGCTGATTGGTAACTCTGCTCATTACCCCTAGAAACCTTGATTGTCACCTGGCTCTTGTCCAGACTTGGGGACCCTGTCTTTGGGGGGCTCATGGGAGACCTTCAGAGCTCACTCAGAGGCACATAGCCACCGCGTGTGGGGCCTTTGGTCTCTGGCCAGTGGGGTGGCCTGGCCCCGGCGCTGAGAGCAAAGACAACTTTGGGGAAACAATGCCCAGTGGAAGAGGGTGGTGCATGCTGGGTACCGGAAAAGGACACACAGTGGGTGCCACTGGAGCACAGAGGAGGAAGAGGGTGGTACACCCCAAGATGTGGGGTGCAGGAAAGCGATGGGGGAGAGTGGGCGGGGGGCGCATGCGTGAGTGGAGGTTGAGGGGGCTGGGGGTGGCATGGATCGGCTTCTGTTCATGAAGCAGTCAGAATTCTCAGACCTCCTGTCCAGGATGTCTTAAATGCCACGGCCCACAGCCTTGGATTGCCAGTTGTCCACAGGCTGGCTGCATTTTTTGGTGGGTGGCAGTGGTTCTCAACAGTGGCAGGGTTTGTTACTGCATGGAGGTGGGCAGATGGATGGTGAACAAGGCTCACTGGCTGATTTAATAGATATGCATCACAAAATGTGCCGTCATAAGGGTGGAAGTGTCCTGGGTCCCGGCAGGAAGCACGTTGGAAGTGCTGCTCTGTAACACTGGCATCCATCTCCCAAACCTTCCCCTGTCCCAGACTGAACCAGGCAAGGCTGGCTTGGGCCCTCCTGCTTTCCTTCCCTCTGCGTTTGACTATTCCAGGGGCCTCTCATGTGTGCCCTTGGGTGACCGGCTTCTTCCCCTAGCATGAGGGACAGCCCTTGAAGGTCAACTGTGTTGTAGCAGGTGTTGCTTTCCTTCCTTTCTATGGCTGAAGAAAATTCCTTTGCATAAATTATCATGCTCCATTTGAATGCACAGGTCTGGCTTATCCTGCCGCTGTGCATCGACAGCCTAAAAAAGGCTCTCTCACCACTCCCCCCAAATTCTTGGGATGGAAACCAGGGCCTTGTGGATGCGTTCGAGGCGAAACAAAACAAAAACAAAAAACAAATACACAATGGAATTCTGTGCGTCCATCAGAAAGAATGACATCGCCCCATTTGTTAGGAAATGGAAAGACTTGGAAAAAATTATATTAAGTGAAGTAATCCAGGCCCAAAGAAACATAGGTCCCATGGTTATTTGCAATCACTAGTATATGTCTGAGACAAGCAGAAAAGGTCAGATAAGATGATGTTAAGCAAAATGAACCCCAAGATAGGACACAAGTGGTTTTTTCTTCCTTGCTATTGTTCCTAATGTATTTATAAGGTACCACGTGATTTTTTTGTTGCTTTATATGTCCCTCCCCCATGGTATAACCCCTGTTTTCACTGTATTTGATGTTGGTATAATTTGGGGAGGGGAAGGGAAAAAACAAAATGTTTAAATAGGGATACAGGTGGACCCACTGTAACAATGAGATGTACAAGATGCTATGAACTTTACAATTTAGGTGGGGGTGGGGAGTGTAGTTGAGGAGGTGGGAGAGAAGGGATGGTAGGAGAAAAACAAAGGAGGAGGTAACAATGCTGGATAAGAAATGTACTCATTACCTTGCTCATGTAACTGTAACCCCTCTGTACAGTATTTTCACAATAAAAAACTTATTTTTAAAAAAATCATGGGCTGGGAAGGTGGCTCAGTGGTAGAGCGCTTGCCTTGCATGCCAGAGGCCCTGGGTTTGATTCCTCAGCACCACATAAGCAGAAAGAAAAAAGCCGGAAGTGGTGCTGGGGCTCAAGTGGTAGAGCGGTAGCCTTGAGCTGAAGAGCTGAGGGACAGCGCCCAGGCCCAGAGTTCAAGCCCACGACCGGACCCAAAAAAAAAAAAAAACCCAAAAATCAAAAACCCTACCATTAAGCCAGATGCTGGTGGCTTCCACCTGTAAGCTACTCAGGAGACTGAAATCTGAAGATCAGGGTTTTAAGCTAGCCTGGGCAGAAAAATCTGAGCCTCTTAATAACCAATTAACCACCAAAAAGCTCAAGTGATGCAGTGTCATCCTCGAGTGGAAAAGCTAAAAAGAGATCAAGGCTCCAAGTCCAAGTCCCAGTACTGGCCCAGAAATACACAGACACAGACACAGACACACACAGACAGACAGACACACACACACACACACATACACACACACACACATACCCATCATTGAACTATACTTCCAGCCCAATTTATTTAATTAAATATTTGATTAGCATGCTGTAGTTTCACAAGGAGGGGGAGATTGACTTTGACAGATGTGTACAATATATCCCCCTATAGCACTTTGACTTTCCCCTTTCTCATAGCCCTTGTCAACCCAGTGCCCTCCCACAGTAATTACCCCAGTAGAGCCTGTTTTACTTTCTTGTCATTCATTGTTGTTGTTGTTTTAATATGCATTGCTTCAAGGAATCTCACCATGGTATTTCATTCATGCATATGTTAACATTTTGTTCACAACAACCCTCTCTTGCTTTCTGCTTGTCCTTCGAATCCCTATTATCTATAGCTTTAAGATTCCCCAGATCATCTTCACACATAGTTTTTCTGTATTTTAAAATTATTCATATCAGCCAGGTGCTGGGGGCTCACGCCTATAATCCTAGCTATGTAGGAGGCTGGGATCTGAGGTTTGAGGTTACCCTGGGCAGGAAAGTTTGTGAGACTCTTATCTCCAATGAACCACCAACAAGCCAGAAGTGGAGCTATGGCTCAAATTCTAGCCTTGAGGAAAATATGCTCAAGGACAGGTCCCAGGCCCTGAGTTCAAGGCCTAGTACCTGTGCATGTGCATGCACACATGCAAGATACAAATGTGACTTTTCTCTTTTTTCCTTTCTTCCTTCCTTTCCTTTTTTGTTAGTCATGGAGCTTGAACTCAAGGCCTGGACACTGTCCCTAAGCTCTTTTCCTCAAGACTAGTGCACCACGTTGAGCCACATACCATTTCTACAAATGTAACCTTTCTTTCTTTCTTTCTTTCTCTCTCTCTTTTTTTCTTTTTTGTCAGTCATGGGTATTGAACTCTAAGCCTGGGCACTGTCCTTCAACTCTTCAGCTCAAGGCTAGTGTTCTACCACTTGAGCCACAGCACCACTTCCTGTTTTCTGAGTGATTTATTGGAGATAAGAGTCTCACATACTTTCCTGCCCAGACTGGCTTTAAACCTCGATGTTCAGATCTCAGCCTCCTGAGTAGCCAGGATTACAGGCCTGAGCCACCAATACCCTGCCCAAATGTGACTTTTCAATACACAATTGGGAGACTAGAAAATGTGTTTGGCCTAACGTTTCTTCCTTTTCGCCTGCAGGTATGACGCTGGACGGGATGGTTTCATCGACCTGATGGAGTTGAAGCTGATGATGGAGAAGCTGGGGGCCCCGCAGACTCACCTGGGCCTGAAGAGCATGATCAAGGAGGTGGATGAGGACTTTGATGGCAAGCTCAGCTTCCGGGAGGTACCAATGCCCTGTCGGTCCAGCGCCCCCAGAGGGAGTGGCGGTGGGAGGAACTGCAGTTTACCAATGGGTTGGCCTCCTGAGAGTGCTGTTTGGACATTCAAACTACATTTCTGCTTTTAAAAATACCTTTAACTCAGGAGGCTGAGATCTGAGGATCGAGGCTCAAACCCAGCCAGGGCAGGAAAGTCTGTGGGACTCTTATGTCCAATTAACCACCAGAAAACCGGAAGTGGAGCTGTGGCTCAAAGTGGTAGAGTGCTCGCCTTGAGCTGAAGAGCTCAGGAACAGTGTCCAGGCCAAGTTCAAGCCCCACAACCAACCAAAAAAACCACAGAAAAACAAAAAAACTTTAAGTGTTCCTATCTGTAATTCTAGCTACTTGGGAGGTGGAGATCAGAAAGATCTGTTAAATGTCAGCATGGGCAAAAAATACATGACTTCTTCTCAATCAGTTAAAAAAAATCAGGCATGATGGCTTCTGCCTGTCATCCTACCTGCTTGGGAACTATAACTAGGAGGATCAAGGTCCAAGCTGACCAGAGCATAAATGGGAGACCTTACCCGAAAGATAATTAAACCAAATAGGGTTTAGGGCGTGGCTTTAGTGGTAGAGGTCTGCCTAGCAAGCACAAAACCTCGAGTGCTAGACTGGGAAAATGCCCAGGTAACAGACTGAAGACCTACATGCATAGCCGAATTGCATTTGGGCAAAAGAGTAAGAAATGTAGTCATGTGCTGGTGGCCCACATCTGTAATCCTAGCTATGTGGACGGGTGTCTTTGGTTGAACTGACCAAGGTGAGCCCTCCCTTCCTGCTGTGACTAACTGGGCTCATCACACACAACTCCAGAAATTGCCATCTTGTCCTGGCCTAGGCCGTGGAGCAGGTACACGTGCTAACGTGCCTTCCACGTTTTTCTTTGTGATCTGTATTTGATCTTCCTCCCATTTCCTGACACTCTGCCAGCTCCTAGTCCTCTTGAAATAGCGGAAGTGTCTTTGCATGCTAAAGAGAAGACTCATGACTGGCCACCACTAGTGGTCACAAGAAGGATCTCTGGGGCTGAAGGTTAAATCGATCGTCAGGGACCAATGACTTAATTAACTATGTCTATATAATGACATCTCCATAAAACCAGAAAAAAACTGGTTTCTTTATTTTATGCGAGTGGGGAGGTGGGGGGTGTCTAGATTACTAAGCACAGGGAGGTTCCTGGAGGGAAGCCCAGTGTATACATCTCTTCATCAGTACATGTAATCTGATCCTCTTCTGAATGAGATTCAATGACACCCCACTACGATTCACCACCCACTCATCCACTGCACAAACAACCACTTGTTTGGGGACCCCACACTCTGGGATCCTAAGTATGGTATGAGAGCTCTTCCCTTTTCTCGTTAGTGTGATCATGGGAAAGCTGTGTGGCATAGCCCTTGGGTGATGGTGTCCAGCTTTTGCATTCACAGCTAAGGACCTAGGGGGCCAAATGGTCAGGATCGTCCAGCGCAGGGCTGCATGCGGGCTGCCGCCTGCCCCTGTCATCACAGCAGGTCTCTCCTGCCTCCTGCTGACCCTCTCCTGCTTTCTGTATGGGATATGCCTGGGTTGGCCTGGGGTATGGGACGTTGGGGGGTTTTGCCTCAGGGAAGGGAGCTTCAACTTTGGTCCCCACCTTTGTGACTTCTGGAACAGCACAGGAGATGGGTTTTGGGGGTATTTAGACATAATGCCCACAATGTGCTTGCCATTTTCTGGTCAGCTTCCAGTGTGGCCATTCCCTGCTGATGGTAGACATCCACATCTGGCAGTCTCCAAAGATGGGTAGTTTTTTGTTTTGTTTTATTTTTGAGTTTGTATGTGGTTGTTGTTGTTTTGGTGGTACTGGGGTTCAAACTCAGGGCCTGAGTGCTGTCACTTAGCTTTTTTTGCCCAAGGCTAGTGCTACACTTCTGGCTTTGGTAGTTAATAGGAGATACAGAGTATTCATGGACTTTGCTGCCTGGGTTTTGAACTGAAATCCTCACATTAGCCTCCTGAGTAGCTAGGATTACAGGCCTGGATCTACCCTTGAGTTCTTTAGACATCTTTTTGTTTCATGAATATCTCCTATTCACTTAAGCCAACTGGTTTATTCTAGTCATCAGCAACCTATGAGATCTAATACGGGGAACGTGTTTCTTCAGCAGCCAGAACCAGGGAGTTAACAATCTCTTCAATCTATCAGCATCCATGGCTGTGGCTGAAGAAGCTTTTGAGCTTTCTCTCTCGGTCTCTTTCTCTTTCTGTCTCTTTGCTCCCCTCCCCTCCTTCCCTTCCCTTCCCTGCCCTGTCCTTATAGTCACAGCCAGGACCTTTTTCCACGTCTTCTACCACATTCCTGTCTTTGTGAACTATAAATAGCAAGACAAGCAAGGCTGGGCAGTCTGAGAAATTGTCCTTCAGGGCACTGAGTGACTGTAATGAAATGGAAATGCCAAATATGTCCAGCTTGAGTTGGATTTTCCTTTTTTTTTTTTCTTCCTTCTTTGACTGGTTAGGATTGGGGGACCCTTGATTTATGATGGGGCTGCTCTTGGTAATGTGCTGGGGTGGCAGAATGGGTACCAATACCTGGATGGACCCTGGGACCTAACAGCCCAGAAGCCATACCTCTGGGAAAGAAAAAAACAACAAACCTGTGAGGACCTCATTAATGTTTCCAGTTCACAGAACACAAACGCTTTCAGCCCTGCTATAGCTGTGAAGAACTAAGTGTCAGGGATGGGGTGAGCCCTCAGCACTGCTTGGGGCTAAGTTAGAGTGGTGCTCCCTCTTTCCTGAGCCACTTCCCAGGCCATGAGAACACTGGTATGGAGGGCCACCTCCTCCAGGGCAGCGAGGTGGGGACACTCTGGAAATGAAATGCTTAGGACAGGTGGGTGTGTAGTCTGCTTTCTGTTGCTCTAACAGAATACCTGAGACTGGATTGTGTAGAAAGAAAAGAGGTTTATTTTAGGTTGTGGTTCTGGAAGTCCAAGAGAATGGTGCTGCTGGTATGTGCTCAGCTATCTGGTGAGGGCCTGGTGCTGCTTCCGCTCATGGCTGGAGGTGCCAAGGCGCGCCGGATGTTAGTGGATGAGGGGAAGCAGTGGAGGGGCGAGGAAGCAGAACTCGCTTGACAATACCCAGCCTCCTGAGCCCACTTAATGACCTGCTTGCTTGCATGAGTGCTTCCTTGCTTCTCTCCCTCCCTCCCTCCCTCCCTCCCTCCTACCTACCTACCTATCCTTCCTTCCTTCCTTCCTTCCTTCCTTCCTTCTTCCCTTCTTCCCTCCCTCCCTCCCTCCCTCCCTCCCTCTCTTCCTTCCTTCCTTCCTTCCACTTGTGCTTTACCTTTTGAGCCACACCTCCACTTCCCACTTTCTGCTGGTTAATTGAAAATGAGTCTCAGGTGCGTTTCTGTCTGGGCTGGCTTCAAACCACGATCCTCAGATCTTAGCCTCCTGAGTAGCTAGGATTATAGGCATGAGCCACCAGCATGTGTTGGTGACCTGATTGCTTCTTAAACATCCCCCATCACTGGACACCATTCTGTTGTAGATCATGCTTCCCTATCAGGCTCAGTGGAGCCACACCCGTACTGGCATTAGAGCAGCCAGCAGGGTGCCGAGGGACTGGCATTGCTTCCCTTCCCACCAATCACATTTACAGCACTGGGGTCTTGGCTGCTGCTGCCTCTTCCAAGCTGGAGCTCTACCATCACCTCCCTCCCCTTGGCCCTGGTCCCACGGCTGGGGGCTGGCTTCCTTTAACACACTTTTTCTTTTTTCAAGCCAGTCTCCTGGCTCTGACGATCTATCACAAACCCAGTCTTTGCTGGCCTCTAGTGAGAGAGCTGGACGCTGCAGCAGGATGAACCTGGCATTTCTATCCGTCCACACTGGCCCCTAAACTTGGCAGAACTACAAGTCTCAGGGCATCTTGGCTTGTCCTCGCTTAGTCTCTGGCAGTGTCCACAGTGGCCTGAGCACCCCTGAAGTTTTAAGGGTTGTGACGGTGGCTGCGACTCACTCAGCACACTGCCCTCTGGAAGGAAGAGGCCTGAGCATGCCCAACCCTCAAGTTGGAATCTGGGAAGTCTGTGGAAGTGGTTGTCCTGTCACTGTTTTAGAGCTGCAGGAAAATGGTGTCTTTTCAGTTGGAAAAATAAGTAGTAAGGATCATCTTAGTTGCTTGCCAGGTAAAATCATGGTTACTTAAAGAACTAAATAGCCACTGAATTGCCTTGGGAGAGAACAGGAAGATGACTGAACAGCCATTTAAGTTTGATGGACTTAGTTAAGAATTCATCCTGCAAGGCACTGGTGGTTCACACCTGTAATCGTAGCTACTCAGGAGGCTGAGATTGGAGGATTGCAGTTCAAAGCCAGCCTGGGTGGACAAGTCCCAACCAACCAGCAAAAAGCTGGAAATGGAGATACAGATAAGTGGTAGAGTGCCAGCCTTGAGTAGAAAAATAGCCAAGCAAGAGCCTGAGGCCCCGAATTCAAAACACACACACACACACACACACACACACACACACACAGTACTGTATTGATTTGACAGAGTTGCAAGACTTTGTAAAGGTATTATCTTCCTTGTCTTATATTTTATGATCTAGAATGCTGTGGTATGTACTGGTAACATTAACTGAAAATCCAAATTCATTAACTAAAAAAGCAAGTGACAGTGCCCAGGCTCTGAGTTCAAGCCCTAGCACGAGAAAACACACACACACACACACACACACACAGAACCCATTTAATACTTAGAATAGCTGTATGTATCTTTTAGCTTTTCACACTTGCTTACCCAATAAATTGCCATGGGCTATCATCATGGTTTGTAATTGCGGAGTCATGATATTTCAGGTTATTTGAATATAATAACTTTTTGAGGTAATTGGGTGTGTGAGCATGCACGTGTGCATGCACACATATGTGCAAGTAATAGGGCTTGAATTCAGAGCTTCACA